CCCAGAACAAAGGAGCCAGTGGCCACAGATTACAGACTGCAAGAAGCCTGAACCAAAAGCACACTTGCAATCTTTTAGGCCTATTTGCTCAGACATCTGGTCAATGGGATGCAAACCCTGCAGAGCAGCCTCCCTGGAAGCACAGTGGTAGCTAGCACCTTGCTGTGCCTCACTTCCTAATCAGTTGACAAAAGGTGGCTTTCCAGCAGACTGATTAAATCCCTCCTTCTCAGGGCAAGCCCTGCCCACCCCCCATGAGGACAGGGAAATTCCTTCCCTTTCCAGACAAAGATGAGGACTAACAGTGAACCCTATCCAGCAACCTTTGGGGACCTTCATGGGTCCACACATCTAGGAAGGACGATGTTTAATACAAAGAAGGTATCTTTTGATTTTCATGGCCTGCTATGACTATACTTCAGCCCTTCCACTCTCAGGGTTATAAACAATTCAGCATGCTTTATGGAAGAAGGAAGAGGAGGAGGAGGACAAGGAGGACGAGGACGAGGAGGACGAGGATGGTGTCCTGTTTTTCTATCCTCTCTGAAAACATTATCTGTCCTCCAATGAACAGGAAGGCAGTAGCAGGACCACTAAGCAGCATTATCTGAGCATCTGCAGGTCTGGGCACTGAGGACCAAGGCGACAGGGACTCTTCACCAAGGTCCCTATGGGCCCACATGTCCCTTCAGCACTCCTGACCATCACTTAACACTTAACTTCGCTTTTATAGCATCTGCAAACACAGGGCGGGGCCTCCCTTGTTACCTCTCAGTAATCTGCTAATTTGCCAGGTTGGTTTGTGTTTGTGAACACAGTGGTTGAGACTCTATGAGAATCCCAGCTATTAGATTCCTGCCTTCCCCCCATTTTCCAAACCTTATTTTCATTTAAGAACGAGAGAAGAAAAGATGGTTAAGAGTGAGGTTTAGCTGGAGATCAAGATAAATGGCAAGAAGAAGCTACTGGGAGCGATACTAGCCTGCTACTTCTTTTAAAACAGCTTCTGAGAATGTTCCCAACCTCACAATACCATAAATGTCCTGATGCTGCTTGGCTCTTAGATTCTTCCCCGTACTTTCCATGCACATTCTACTGGGAATTGTCTGGAATCCCAGATTAAAACAGCAGTAACCTAATTCCCTTGCTATTTTTTTTAAGGTTTAGAAACCCAGCTGGGCTATATCTTCAAGCATATGGCCCAACTTCACAGAGTCAGTGACCACTGAGTTCCTCAAATATAGTAAGGAGCAGGCAGTCCTGGACTAGAAGAGGGAGGAGGGAAGCTGGTTGGCTCGCCTGGAAAGCCCCGGCAGGCAGCAAGAGCCTGGGAACCTCTACTTCTAGAGGATTCATTCCAGATGTTGAAACCAACCATGTCACAACAGAGCTTCTAGAGACTACCAAGGAGAGCTATCACTTAAGCTGGACTGCCACAAACCACTGCCCTGACATGAATCCATAATTTAGCGATTATCCCCAAGGCTAGCAGTAATAGACTACAACTCCACAGTGGGCAATTGTCTTGTGAGTATCTATCAATCCATCCATCCATCCATCCATCCATCCATCCATCCATCCATCCATCCATCCATCCACCTACCTGTCTGTTTTTCCATCCATTCATCTGCCCACCCACCTACCCACCCATCTATGTATTCATCCACCTATCTATTCAAGAGTTCTTCATCTATCTTACCCATCCACCCACCCACCCACCTGTCCATTTGTCTATCCATCCATCCATCCATCCACCCACCCGTCTGTCCCCGTTCATCCATTCACGAATCCATTCATCCATTCGAGTTCTTCATCTACCTTATCCACCCATCCACCCATCCATCCATCCATCCATCCACCTACCTGTCTGTTTTTCCATCCATTCATCCGCCCATCCACCTACCCACCCATCTATGTATTCATCCACCTATCTATTCAAGAGTTCTTCATCTATCTTATCCATCCACCCACCCACCCACCCACCTGTCCATTTGTCTATCCATCCATCCATCCATCCATCCACCCACCCGCCCACCCATCTGTCCATTTGTCTATCCATCCATCCATCCACCCACCCACCCGTCTGTCCCCGTTCATCCATTCACGAATCCATTCATCCATTCGAATTCTTCATCTACCTTATCCATCCATCCATCCATCCATCCATCCATCCATCCATCCATCCATCCATCCAGGGGTGACACATGAGTTCTTTAGCAACAGAACAATAGTTCAGAGAATGGGTTCCAGTCACTAACACGTTTTAGGACCAAATCAGTGCAAATGGCCTAGCAGCAGCCCTAAACTCATTTGTCCATACAAAATAAGTGGATTTAAACACACAGCTGCACAGTGGCATACATAGTAAGAAACTAAGCTGTAGGATTAGACAAGACTGAATTTGAATCTTGACCCTGCCATCTTACTAGTTCTGTGACCAACCCTGAAAAACTACTTAAATTCTTGAAGCCGTGGGCAAGGGTTAAAGCTCTGTGGTAGAGGGTTTGCCTAACATGTGCTCCTGGCTTTGATCCCTAGCAGTGCTAAAAATAAAAATCTGTAAGCCTTTACACGTAATGTGGAGATAGCCTTTATGTATGCTTTGGAAAGAGAAAAATCTATCTTTACAGATATTAAAGTGAGACTAAAATGAAATAATAGTATATATTAAAGACCTTAGTTCCACAATAATTACAAGGCATTGTTAATTTTGTTTGTTTTGAGACAGGATCTCTCTATGAGCTCTGTCTGTCCAAGAACTCAATTTGTAGATTAGGCTGGCCTTGAAGTAACAGAGTCTGGCCTTCTTCTGTCTCTCAATGTTGGGATTAAAGGTCTGTGCCACCATGAGCAGCTATTATGATAGTGTGCTGCACTTGAAGATATGCTGGGAAGCAGAGAGAGGTGGCTCAGTGAGGAAGCTGCCTCCTCAAGGAGAGACTGTGTCGCTAAGGAAAGAGAGTTCCAGGTACGGATGATGATGGTGGAGATGAGACTTGCCATCTTTAAAGTAAGAAGGGCTGTTAAGCATCCTCTTTTCCAAACGCAAACATGAAGGGAAGGAAGACTAAAATAAATGACACACAGCTCACAGCTAAATGGCAAAACGAGCTCAGGATGAAGATCCAATTGCCAGTTCAGTCTGCACGCTAGCTTGCGAGGTTGGTTGTTTTTCTATGACAATTTCTACAACAAAAGAGCTCATGTATGTCAAAGGTGCCCTGAGACTTAGCAGAAGCTAGGGTCCCTTGAGAAGTGTTACAAAATATAGGAGCAAAAATAGTCTGAAAAAAAATCCACCCTCTCTGGGATAATTAAAAATTTTAAGCTCTGTAGAAGCAGGGAATTCTACTTTCTGCATCTCAGTACCTGGTGTACCTAGGGCAGTGCCTGGCAGTACACAGACAAAATAAGACCGATTTGGTAGAGGTGTTCTGTCTGCATGGCACGGGTATGTCCCACGCAAGGCGAGCACTCCTGAAGTAAATCTGAAGTAAGTACATTGGTCACAGGGTAATGTCTGCAGGCAAATTTGCTGTTTCTTTTCCATCTCTGGTGCTGCAACAGGTTCCAGTTCCTAAGGATGACCCTGCCTGCAGCTCTGCAGACACACCCTCTGCTTAAGATAAGAAGCAGAGACCTCTGGACCACAGGAGACAACGCTTTCTAAACACTGGCCGAAGAAGGAAGGATTCCAGTGCCCCAAATGAATCCCAGAGTCATCCTTACTATGAGCAGAAGGGAGGACGCAGCAGGACTGGCCGAGGTCCACCCCTGACACAAATCATGCATCCCCTGCTCCCTGCTGTTCCCTACTCTCTCTCAACAAGTCATCTTATGAGGAGGGACAGGTAAAGCAGCACAACCTGGGGACCACCATCATGCCAAGGAACAAGGAGTACCACCATTTGTCATTTGAGTCACTGGGAATCATTTGGAAAGGCCTAACGCGACCCCAGTGCCCTTTAGAACCTGGACATGTGCCCTTGAGACAACGCTCAAGCCAGGGGAACTGGCATTTTCGTGCACACAAGTGTTGGGGGTGGTAATAAGGTGATTCATTTTCTCTGGATGCTCCAGTCACATTTATCCCCTGGTCTGGGTACCAACAGACAAAGAGGAGCAGACAAAAAGGACACAGCAGGGGCCGATGCTTTGGAGACTAAGGTTGGTCACATAGGCATGCGGGTCTCAAGGCTCTGCCAAGATGCAGCTGAAGACTCAGATGGAAGAAAAAACGGGAATGACCTGGGGGACAAGGGTGAAGCCAAGAAAAGGGAGAGAGAGAGGGAGAGGAGTAGAGGAGTGAAGACAAAGGAAAGACGTGACGACACGTGAAAAATGAAGGAAAGAAACGGAGTCGGTATATGGAGAAAGGGAGGGGGAGAGGGACCTTAGAGAAGGGGAGGCCATGGCTTAGAAACAGAGCATGCGCGCTCGGGGGTGGGGGGTGACCGAGGGAAGGGGGTGGTGTTGCAAGTAAAGCAAAGGCATTTTTTTTGCCTAAACCCAAGTTCACATCTCCTCGGAACCAGTGGTGGAAGGAGAGAGCCAACTCCCCAGAGATGCCCTCCACATATGTACCTTGGCACCCCCCCCACACACACACAGATAACTTTAGAAAGCAGTGCGTCTGAATCCACCCCTGGGTAAAAGAAAATATGAAGGTGGAGTAAGTATGGACTTAAGAGTTTAAAAACTTTGAGTAAAAAACAAAACAAAACTCATTTGGCCTCCTAGATCACATTAACTCTGTCATGTGTTAGGTATTTCTGGCTTTTTGTCCCCTGTCATGTCCTTATCAGATACGAATGAAAATATTGAGAAATAAGGGACAAGAATGTCAAACTTCTCAAAGCCATTATGAGGAGAAGGTCAAAGACTCCAAGGATGGCTAGCGACGTCCCTTGGACACCATCTCAGACCAGAGCTTCTCCTTGGGATCCACCCGGAGGGGCATCCTGTCAGTTCCCCCAGCTTCCCAGCGGGCAAACACTCACGCAGGTGCGCTGGTAGGTGAATCGAGTCTTCCTCCATCCTGAGCGCGCCAGGCACTGGGACATGAAGCGGAGTCGAGGAACCGTAGCTCGCCACTGGACTCTCCGGAGGTGTGTATGAAATTCGTTCCTGCTGTTAGGAAAAGGGGAGGGAGAAAAGAAAATGAAATGTTGCAATGGAGGTGTGAGACTCTCAGCGAAAGGCGGGAGGGGCATGTGGGACATGGGCCTGCCCAGAGGTGTCCAATCTTTGGATGCCACAGCATGGCCCTGTCATCCACAACTGTGTTGAGCCACACATATGGTACCCTGAGATACGCTGGCATCATCGGATCACACATGCCTTCTGTTTTGATTTAAAAAGAAAACAAGCAAACAAAAATCACAGGGTTTTGGACTCAGGTCAACAGGTGTCTACCCCAGTGGTTTGTTCCCAGAATAAGGACGGGCAAAGTGAGCAAGTAACAAACAGGAGGCCTACGAGAAGTTGTCCAAAGGAACTCCACAACACTGTTTTTTCAAGTCACATACTGAATGTCACCAATGCATTCAAATCATGTTTCCTCTTCTCTGGCAACGTCCCCAGCTTCTAATCAGAGTATGATTCGAAACTCAAATCCAGCAAGAATGAGCTATACCAGTAAGTGGGAAAGTGATGATTTCCAAGTCCAAAGACTGAGGTGCACATTTTTCCCTTCTTTTCTTTGAAATGCTTTCCTATAGCCCAGGCTAGCCTCCAACTCACTATGTATGTAGCCCAGGCTGGCCTCCAACTCGTCTCATACTTCCCCTTCAACCTTCTGAGTGCTGAGATTACACACACCTGTGACCATGCCTGCTTATTCAGTGCTAGGGACAGGACTGACAGCTTCGTGTGTGCTCAGGAAGCACGTCCCCGGCTGAGCTACAGCCACAGATGATTTAATTAATTGTTCTATCACTATCTCACTATACCAAAACCACAACCCCAAACAGCCAACGTTTAAAAGTCTTTCCTTCCATGTCTGCATGAACAAAGTATCTCCTTGCTTCTCCTTCCTCCCCATCACAAGCAATTATTTCCTTTTTCTTTGAAGTATTCCAGGGTTCTTTTAAAAACTATTTGGCAGAGGCAGGCAGATCTCTGTGAGTTCCAGGCCTACAGAGCGAGTTCCAGGACAACCTCCAAAGCAATACAGAGAAACCCTGCCTCGGAAAACAAACAAACAAAAACTATTTGACAATAACTAAAGATACTCATCAACTGACAAGGAGATGAGTGGAGGGCTACAACAGAACCCCCATTCAGTTTCACACAATCAGTATTTGCTAGATCAGCTGACGCCAACCGAGCGCTCGGAGAAGGATTGCTGCAACAGGAACTGCTGTGTTCAGCAATAGCAGAGGACAGTTTGCAGCTCCACCCCACATACCAACCCCAGCCTGAGTTGCAGTCAGGTAAATCTAACTTCCAGTGGTGCCTGTGGATTAGCTGGACAAACAAAAGTAAGAAAAACGAGGCCCAAAAATAAGCCGGGGGGGGAGCTCAGTAAGTTGACACTATGAAAGTGAAGTTCAGGAGCAAAAGAAAATTCTAGATCAAGGTGAGGCAAGGAGGGCTTGGCCAGGTGTGCACACTTGGGATCCCAGTACTTGAAAGGTAAGTACAAGAAGTTCAGAAGGGCCAGCTTGGGCTATGTAAGACTATGAGTGGGATGGATGGATGGAAGGAAGGAAGGAAGGAAGGAAGGAAGGAAGGAAGGAAGGAAGGAAGGAAGGAAGGAAGGAAGGAAGGAAAGACAGGTCTGTCTTTAATATGCATACTTCATCCAACAGGCAAGGGGGAAGGAAGAGGAAGGTCAGGAGCCCCCTTAGTCCTGTAACCAAAGTTAAGCTTCTCTTCTGCTCCAAGTCTGGAAAGTTTGGTGGCTGGGGTGGTAAATTTCACTTTTAAATAAAAATATACAGATTGTAGTTTCCAGATGGGATCACCATACCTTCCCTAAGGCATCTACTAGCAGCAAGGAGTCATCTAGAAGATCTGTTTAAACACCCATCATATAACAATCCTCGTTAGTTCTCAATCGGAGGCAGCCCCATATACCTAGACTAAGTTTCTGCATCAACCAAGATGTCTCGAGATGCAAAACATCCGCCTTCCCTTTTTAAAAAATAAAACAAAAACAAAAACCCTAAACACTGACTACTTCCAGCAATTCTAGCACACAGATAAGTCACTTGTTTGGGGGTTGCATGTCTGCTTTGGGACCATGTGGGGTAAGAGAGGCAATGTATAATTGTGTGTATGTGAAGCGCATCTTAAATCTGGAGACAGTTCCCCCATCCCAGGTGCAAATAAGTTTGTTTGTTTTTTCTTTTCTTTTTAAGAAGGCTTTGGAACCTATCCTGGAACTCACTCTGTAGAACTGGCTGTCCTCGAACTCACAGAGATCCTCCTGCCTCTGCCTCCCGAGTGCTGGGATTAAAGGCATGCGCCACCAACGCCCAGTCACAAATAAGCTTTAATTTGAACATTTCAAGCACACTATTATGACATCCAATAAATACTCTACACTCTTCAAACAAACCCCCACATCTAGATATCAACAATTAACTTCATTGCCAGAAATAGCTTTGTTTTGTTCTATTTTTTACATAGGTGAAACTATTGATAGAGAAGCCTGGCAGTCAGGGGGTCTTCAAATGGAATGGCACAAGGGCGAGGAAAAAAAAGAGCAGCTGCTTCATGATATACTGACTTCTGTCTCAAAGCAAAGACTCACAAGAATCGTATGCTTGTCTGTAAGAAAGGACGGCACTTCATTCCAGTCTCCTGCCTCAGAACTTTCTACTTTGCATTGCGGGAGATTTACAGCCAGCCCAGCAACCAGGGTCTGGCGGGGTGTCACCTTCACAGTGCATATATTCCCGACTGCTACTTTATCATTGTGCTGTGCTTTTGGTGCACTGTGGAACCTGACCGGGAAGCTGTAAACTGAGGTCAGCAAGCCCTTTGTGAAAGGTTCAGTGAAGACACCCATCCACAACAGAGGACCACAAGGGGAAAACGCCCGATGTTCTCAGGCCTCGAGCAGCCTGTGGGCAGCAATGGTTAACTACAGGACCCCTGAATTTAACTGTCATCGGAGACCCCAGGAGACTGTAAACCTGATATGTGGGTGCTTTTCTGCGAAGAACAGAACAAAAAGCTGGGAAACCCACACTGAAGACTTAATGTACTTGGTCTAACTTCTAGGCTGACTTACACTCCCTGGTTTTTTACTTTCCCTACAGTCACACACTTAGTATCTATACTGGTTCATCAGTAGCTACCGGCTACCAGAAAAACTAGACACGGCTACCTCAGTTAGTGACAGCTGGACACAGGGGCTCAAAGGTGACTAACATCCAACACTCTAAGTCAAGTGGCTCCTTTATTCTCACCGCCGCTACTCCTCTCATTTGACTACCAGAAGAAATAGTACCTGTTGGCTTATTCACCTCTAAAGGAAATTGTCAGCCAGATGAAAACCAAAGGCACTTTATTTTAATACTGGGAACACTAAGCATTTTTCCCAAGAGGATTATAAACATGGCTCTAATTAAATTAAATTGTATAGAAGGAATACTAATGCATTCAGGTATTGGAGAGCCACAAATGGAAATCAGTGCTGTGGTTAAACATGCTATGATGCCGGTGCATGTCTGCTTAGATCCGGGGGATGGGAGGGATGCTCTCAAATTTGCAAAAACAATCTACCACACCAAGTTGGTGGACAAAAGGGAAGTGCTATAACTTCTGATGTCAACCGTAATAATATCCATGAGGGGTGAAGAAGGTACAAAAGAACTTCATTAAGGCAAAGGAGAGCGGAAATGGTTGAAGGCCAGGGCCGAAAAGGAAATTTTACTAACCATTATAGAAATCTTTTTTAAAATGTATGCTCCTGTAAGAACAACTTATTGAATTTGAAATGATTTACATTTCCCTTTAATGCTGTCTGAAGCATGAATGTCTAAAGAAGAGGACTAAATTTATTCTACTTATTTTCAACCCGTGAACTTGAAACTTCCATGTAAAAGAGGCTCACTCATCCCGTACAGGGAAACGACATTGATGTCCACTCCCTCGCCCTCAGGCCACGTATTCTAGAAGGGTCAAAAGCATGCAATTTTTACTACCATGAGCATCTCCCCCTTCTGAATGACTCGATATCGAGCTTCTATAAATGATGGGGACCCCTCTGTCCCAGTCACATATTTGCTCTTACCCCACTGTCTGAAAAGGCTGATTAGTTGGGTTAATCGACTATCTTCTAGAATATAGACAAAGTTGCTGGGCAGTGGTGGTGCACGCCTTTAATCCCAGCACTTGGGAGGCAGAGGCAAGTGGATCTCTGTTAGTTTGAGGCCAGCCTGGTCTACAAGAGCTAGTTCTAGGACAGCCTCCAAAGGCACAGAGAAACCCTGTCTTGAAAAAAAGAAAGGAAGGAAGGAAGGAAGGAAGGAAGGAAGGAAGGAAGGAAGGAAGGAAGGAAGGAAGACAAGAAAGATAGACAAAGCATTTTGTGAATCAAGGAGAACAGAAATAAAGTCGGTGTTCTTGTGCAAAGATGGGTAAGGTTTCAAAAACCTTAGATGCCCTTGATTGAGGAATTCTTTCTAGAGATTGCTTCAACAACATTGCAAATGCCAAGATTATATCTCCAGTTCAGTCTCTGAAGCCTGAGGAGTGTCATGGGACTGAACGGTGACTGTTTCCTGGAGTTATGGTAAGAATTCCACCACAGGCGCCTCTCATTTGATGCATGTTGCTGTCCCAACACAACAACAAACACTGCAACCCAGATAAGATGTATAAACAGCAGAGAGATCAGACAGCCAGGTCTCTAAAAGTGAGGGGGAAAGCTAATGCTTGTCCTGTAACCAACATCAACACACTGCTCAGAAGAAATCCCTCCTCTGACAAGCTATGTTCTCTGATTACTACACAAACAGGAATACTTGATGTGATGGTTAATGGCATCTCAAACGCCAACTCGATGAGGTCTAGAGTCAACTGGGAGATGGGCCTGCAGGCATGCCTGTGATAGGATAGCTGGAGTGGGAAGACCAGCCTAACTGTGGCTGGCACCATCCCCTGGGTTGTGGTCC